AGCTTCTAGAAACAAGTGCCTTACTAGTAGTAACAAGAAGCTACTAGGGGCTCCTTTCCCGGTCGTTGGACATCTCAACCGGTGTCGTGCTGTTCGTACGTTGGGCGCGCCTCGTTTAAGGTTAACAAACACCATCGAGGGCTGAGCTGAGATGCTTTCGTTAATGTCGAGTTCCATTTTCTGGTCCAAGCAGTCCGAAGGCCACACGGAAGAAGACGACATTGTATATATATATATATATTAGCAGCTATATCCTTAAAATTCTTAAGACACTTTTTATTCTTTAGTTGTATTTTACCTTTATTTTAAATCAAAAGAACGGTTTTTCTCATTCTCAGAAACTCAGTAGCTATACGTTCTGCTTGGATCACTTGGTGGAGCTGCAAGGTTTGGAGAGCCAGTGACAAAGTACATTGGCCCTTTCGAGAAAACTGATAAGGCCTAAGACATCCTAAGACCTAGACGTTACATTTGATTGATTTGGATAGTCTTTCGAGATGGCTGAGTGAGGCATTCGCTTGTGAACATTTCCAATCAGACCACAGTGACCCAGACTGATACAGCTTGATCCATTGCGACCTGCTTGCTCAAGATATTGCTGGGCTTGGTTCTTGGAGAATTGGAGAATGGAGTGTTTTTGCCCGAAGCAACAGATGTACATCACCGCGTTCTAACAGATGTACTCAAACGAAGAACAGACCCCAACCAGATCAATGACACTCAATCTCCTTTGTAGACGTCAATACACCCACACTGGTGTCTCGCATACATGGGCAAAGCGGTGTTTCGCCCCTGGCTTTAATCTGGCCAGAGTGAGCAAAACGACCCAAACACTGGTTTTGCGTCCTAGCCATTTGCTTCAGCATGATGGAGCAATATCAAGTCTATGGTGGAGGCCGAGTGTGTTTGTTTCCTGTTTTTGGTGGCCAAGATGGTCTCAGGAGAAAGGAAGGAGATTCAACGCTGTCCATGGCGGTGGTCCGTGGACCGTGCGGTGGTCCGTCACAAGCCAACGCAGACTTTACTGATGGACAAGGCATCAAATCTCACAAGGCATGACAAAGACAGAAACCTGGACTTTGCCTGCCACGAAATTGCCACTTCGCAGTCTACCAAGTGCTGTACCTGCCACGAAATCTGCACTTCGACATACACAAAATGCATGTTTCAAGGTCCACCAAGGCGAGTAAGCTGCCAGACAATCTGTAGTTTGACTGCTAAATGCTGCAGTTTGCGAGATGTGCATGTCAAGGTCCGCTGCGTTAAACCATGTTTGCAAGCTTGTTTGCTGTTTTGGGGACGGCAAGCCCCGCATAGCCGCGAAGACGGGAGGAGCAGCCCGGCAGAGCGCGGCTCGCCGAACTGCAAAGAGGAAAGAACGTGAATTTAGGAGAAGAAGACTAAGCAGAAGTGGTCCTTCTTCTTCCAGTAGCAAGAAGCTACTAGGTGGAGGGCATCGCTATTAGGTTGGAAGCTATGGCTACTAGCAACAAGAAGAAGTGGTTCTTCTTTTTATATGTTCATTTCGTTGAGTTTGTTTTGAAATATCGATATTTGATGTTTTTTTGATCCCTCACCATCACGGGGTACCTTGCTTTGTCAATTAAATCTGACACATCAGCATCATGTGTTGGTCCTCTTGGAAACGGTTTTTTCCGAGTCTTCTTTTCATTGCTCCTAGTAGTGTCCTTCCTCCTAGTAGCGATGCCAGGAGCCCCCTAGTAGCGTCCTTGCTCCTAGTAGTAAGGCCAGGAGCCCCTAGCAGCTCCTTTTCATAAGCTGTTTCAATTCTGTTTGGCATTGCCGACATTGCGCTTGAAGATTTGCAGGTGCTGCTGCTGGAGCGCAGTGCAACTTGCCACCGTCCTGCCCTGAGAGCTCCAAGTGCATTACTACTAGTGACAAGAAGCTACTAGTGGTAAGGTGCATCTCTACTAGTAACAAGAAGCTTCTAGCCCCTTGTCACGTCACACATCGCTAGTAGGGTGGAGGTCTGATTGAGGAATCTGTTTTGGATTTGGACCATCCGCCTAGTCGGACCAGGCCGCCCCCTCCACCACCGCCGCAGCCGGGTATGGTGCAAGCCAATGCACAAGGCCACGTGAGGGTGGGAACTGCAGAAGGCCTTCTACCTGTGGTTCCAGCTTGCTGTTTTTGGTCAAGGAAGTGGCTCCTAGATTCGTTATGACTATTTCATGGTGATAAAATACCAAAAGAGAAGAACTCATCAAGCGTAGTTTGAAAGGATAGCTTCCCAACGGGGCAGGGCCAAAGTCACTCAGCGGAGAACTGCTCGATATGGTAGGCTCTGACATGGGGGAGACCCCTTTCGCATCATCAAAACCCTTCTTAGTTCAGAAAAATAATAGCACAGATCGCTTCCGCTGACACAGATCGCTTCCGCTTCGCTTTTCAGTCCACCTTGGGACACATCCTTGCCAGGAGTGTATGAGAATGTGGAGGAGCTGCCCTCAGTGATTCGGGGCCTGGGGAAGGCAATAAGCCTTGTTACTACTAGTAAGGCACTTGTTCCTAATAGCTTCTTGTTACTACTAGCGAGGCACTTGTTACTACTAGCGTGGCACTTGTTCCTACTAGTCTTTTTTACACAAAGTTCAATCTTTTGGCACACTGAGCAAGAACCTTTCTTGCTGCATCCGAAACGCCAACCCTCAGCTGAAGCTCAGGTCCAGCAGTTTTTGCAAAACTATCCAGAGACTGAAGTGGACGCGTCGCAGTCCCAGCCATTTTCAACTTTTTCAGAAAACATGTACCTGTGACAATATGTACCCCTTGATGAAGATTTCAGGCCAAGTCAGGCACCGGCTGAGACCATTCTGCCTTTATTTGCATGGCATTCAATGACATACTCAGGATTTTGTGGTACCAAGACATGCCAAGACGACTCTTTGTGCTTCTATTGTTTTGCATTGCCATCACTACTAGGGTGGAATCGCTACTAGGGTGGAGGCCATCTCTATTATATAGGGTGGAGGCCATCGAGCTAAAAAAAGAGTAGCATTCTTGTTCCCGGTAGTAAGGCCAGGCTAGTAGCGTGCTGGCTCCTAGTAGCGATGCCCTTTGCTACTAGTAGCGTCCTCTTGTTCCTAGTAGCGATGCCAGGAGCCCCTAGTAGCGTCCTTGCTCCTAGTAGTATGGCCAGGAGCCCCTAGTAGCGTCCTCTTGTTCCTAGTAGCGAT